GCAAAATACATGGTCTTCAATGAGGAACGCCCAGCCCCCCACTCCTTTCCCGTCAGACAGCGCATCACATTTAGCGCCTTCTTACACTTTCCCACCACTCTCTCAATGTGTTCTGCCCAGGTCAGTCTAGTATCAAAGTATACCCCAAGGAACCTGAAGGCCCCCACCCTCTCCAAGTTTCTCCCATATAACCTCAAGTATACCTCATCTCCCACCTTCCTCCTGGTAAAGAACACTGTTTGAGTTTTCTCTACAGAGAACCTGAATCCCCACATTAATGCCCACCGCTCTACCTCATCAATTGCTTCCTGTACCTTCCTGACTATGTATGGCACATTTCTTCCCCTCTTCCATAAGGCACCATCATCTGCAAATAACGACCTCCCTATATCTGGCTGTACCTGAGAGTAAACATTATTGATCATGATTGAGAACAACAGAGGACTAATCACGCTCCCCTGCGGTGTACCATTATCCACCAAGTAGCTGCCTGATAAAGACTGCCCCACCCTCACCTGGATAGACCCTCCAAACAGGAAATCCTTTATCCAGTTGTACATTCTTCCTCCTACCCCCATAATATCAAGCTTGATTAACAACCCCTCCTTCCACATCATATCATATGCCTTCTCCACATAAAAAAAGACAGCTACAACAGTCTCCTTGTTCACATGAGCCTTCCTGACCTCTGCTTCTAAGCAGAGCACTGGATCCATAGTTCCCCTACCCTTCCTGAACCCACTCTGATGTGGCGTTACTAGCCCTCTGCTCTCCAGGAAGTAAGTTAGCCTCTCCGTAATCATACGTTCCATAATCTTACATACATGTGATGTTAAAGCTATTGGCCGATAGCTTGATGGCTTCGTTGGGTCCTTCCCGGGCTTCCGGATTGGTACCACTACTGCCTCCTTCCAACTGCCTGGTAGTTTCCCCTCCTCCCACACTCTGTTGTACAACACCAATACCTTATCCAGTGCCTCATCACCAAGATGAGCCAACATAACATAGCACACCTCATCTTTCCCAGGTGAAGTTAACCCACCCTTACCTATTGCTCTTTTCACCTCTGCCCTGGTAAATGGTGCACTCAACGCATCATTTACATCCTCCCTCCTTTCCAGCACTCCAGGATGCTCCTCTCTTGTGTTCTCTCTACCCCTCTGCCTCTCCTCTGACATATTTGCGGAGCTATGCACTTGGACAAATGCTTTGGCCATCATCTCTGCTTTCTCCTCATCTGTTACTGCCACATCCTCCCCACTCGTCAACACTGGATAATCCCACTCCCTTCTGATCCCGCTCATCCTCTTAATCATCCCCCACACTTCTCCCACAGGTGTCGCCCTTCCAATGGTGTCACAGAACCGATGCCAACATGACCTCTTTGCCTGACGGATAGTTCTCCTCACCATGGCCTGGGCCTGCTTATACTGAATCAGATGTCGGAAGTTATGCGTTCTTTTCAGTAATCTAAATGCCCTGTTCCTACTCCTCACCATTGCCCCACATTCCTCCTTCCACCATGGGACTGCTTTCCTCCTCCCCCTCCCTGAACTCTTAGGTATAGCCTCAGTAGCTGCCCCCACTAAAGCTGTTCTCAACCAGTTATTCATACTATCTACATCCCCTCTCATATCCACCCGAGCCATCACCTGCTCACTCAGCTCCTGAAACTGATCCTTCCAAACACCCACCTGCCTACTCCATCCACTGACACCTCCTCCTCCCTCCGGCCTACTGTATATACTATGGGGTAATGATCAAATCAAATCAAATCAAATTTTATTGGTCACATGCGCCGAATACAACAGGTGCAGACATTACAGTGAAATGCTTACTTACAGCCCTTAACCAACAGTGCATTTATTTTAAACAAAAAAAGTAAGAATAAAACAACAACAAAAAAAGTGTTGAGAAAAAAAGAGCAGAAGTAAAAATAAAGTGACAGTAGGGAGGCTATATATACAATAGAATAAAGTGACAGTAGGGAGGCTATATATACAGGGGGGTACCGTTGCATAGTCAATGTGCGGGGGCACCGGCTAGTTGAGGTAGTTGAGGTAATATGTACATGTGGGTAGAGTTAAAGTGACTATGCATAAATACTTAACAGAGTAGCAGCAGCGTAAAAAGTATGGGGTGGGGGGGCAGTGCAAATAGTCCGGGTAGCCATGATTAGCTGTTCAGGAGTCTTATGGCTTGGGGGTAGAAGCTGTTGAGAAGTCTTTTGGACCTAGACTTGGCACTCCGGTACCGCTTGCCGTGCGGTAGCAGAGAGAACAGTCTATGACTAGGGTGACTGGAGTCTTTGACAATTTTGAGGGCCTTCCTCTGACACCGCCTGGTATAGAGGTCCTGGATGGCAGGGAGCTTTGCCCCTGTGATGTACTGGGCCGTACGCACTACCCTCTGTAGTGCCTTGCGGTCAGAGGCCAAGCAGTTGCCATACCAGGCGGTGATGCAACCAGTCAGGATGCTCCCTACTGTCGACTCCTCCCATACCTCCCACTCACATATTCCTGCCATCACACTAGATACCAGAGTGAGGACCGAGGCAGACTCTTTCCCTGTGGCTACATCAATCCTGGTCCCTCGGCCATCATTCAGGCACACCAGATCTTTCTTTTCTATCAGATCCCCACACTACATTATCTTACTTCTTTCCTGGCCCTCCACCCTCTCCAGCACTTCCATGTCCAACATCTGACACGGATTATAGTAATTCACTACCACTAGCACCCTTCCTCTCATCCACACCTCCACCACCACATACTCCTGTTCAATCCCTTTGCCTATCATCTTGTAGGGAATTCCTTGCTTAATGAAGGTGGCACATCCCCCCCTCCCCCTATATCTCCGTCCCTACGAACCACTACATATCCCTGTATGATAAACTCCAAATTCGGTTTGAGCCATGTTTCCTGCACACAAATCACATCAGGCTTAGCTAGCATATCAACAATGAACTGCTTGAATTCCTGCCCATTAGCCAACAGGCTTCGAGCATTCCATTGTAGTACTAACACCAAAACTAAGATCCAGTAATACATGACTCCACCATCGGCTGATTGAGGTCATCTCGAACCTCTTCCCATGTCAACCCTGTCATACTCAAATGTCTCCCAGCAGCTTTCACTATTAGTTTAATCCTCTCCGTTTTAGACTTTACTTTATCAGTGCTATTGATAGCTCCTGCTATGAACGTCACCAGCTTTCTCTTTTCTATGTATACCATATCGCTGCCTACCTGCCCCGTAATCCCCGGTCTAGATGCTCCTACCCATCTCTCCCTTGAACCTGTATCTCCCTGGACCTGGACCACCCTCACTGCCTCAGCATATGACACCCTTCTCTCCTGGACCACCCTCACTGGCTCAGCATATGACACCCTTCTCTCCACTCTCACTTGTTGCACCGCCACTGCCTTCTTCATAGCCTCACACCCACTATATGCCACACTATGAGCACCCCCACAGTTGCAACACTTTGGTTGTACACCATCTCTACACTTCCCATACTCATGCTCCCCTCCACACCTGGCACACCTCTTTTTCTCTTTACAGACTGTTGCCACATGCCCAAACCTCTGGCATTTATAACATCTTAAAGGCTTCGGTATATAAGCCCTCACATAATAACTCATATATCCTATTGTTACCTTATTTGGCAGTACCCGGTCCTTGAAATGTAACAGAATAGACGTGCTATCAACCCTATCTCCACCCCTTGTTGCTTGCAATCTTTGTACATTCACTAGAACGCCCCCTCTCAAATCCCTTACCTCTTTAATGCTAACACTCACAGGCACTCCTGTTATCACCCCTTTACTTCACTGCTTGATCAGTCCAGCTGCTCGGCTCCACCTTACACTTCCCTATTTGCTTCACTCCGATAGCTTTTTCCCTCTGCGCCATGTCCTTACAGAACACCAACAATCTCCCATCTCTTAACACTTACATTTACATTTACGTCATTTAGCAGACGCTCTTACATTAGCATTAACAACTTCCCCAATCAACTCTTTTATCACAGCCGTCAATCTTATCGGACTCATCCCCCCAACTCCCCCTTCCTCCTTAAACGTAATAATCACTTTATGCTTCTCCTCACCTCCATGTTCCTCTTATGTCTTATCTTGCCCTTCCTCTGCAGTTCCTACCTCCGAACTTCCGCTAGCGTTGGAAGCTAGGTTTCTCTCAAACTTCCTTTTCTGCCTCCGCTCTACCTCCATAGACCTCTCGCTCCCCTTCATACCTCTACTCCCGTTCTCTCCCGCTTTATTTTTCTCTTTCTTACTCCCTCCTTTATTTGTACCACTATGTTCCATACTTGCTTCACTTTCCTCTCCATCACTATCTCCTACCATCTCTGACCCATTCACAGCACGACCGTGCCGAACCTCCGCCACATCGAGTAAAGTTTGTTTGTTTTTCAACGATTTCAAAAATCCCTCTCGATTCACAACCGTCTGTCGTGGTTCGTTCGCGTCTTCCACTTGCTAGCTACCTTCCGCAGGCAGGCATTCCCTGATGTACACGTCAGTCCCGACCGACTGCCTATGAGAGTTGGGGTTTCTGGGAAATTGAGTTCTAATCTAGAAAAAATACCGCATTCTAGCAGGAAACAAATGTACATATGATCTTTATTCATCTTAAATATTCCCATTACATATGGTACTCCATATGTTTTCATGGCTGAACTAAGTCGGATACAGAAAATAACAAGAACCTGGTAGAGAGAACGCTTTCAGCATATACTGAAAGGAACAGGTACCTTCATCATTAAACATGTAATTAAAGACATGGATGTTCTTACTTGGCCAACTCAAAGAATTAAAGGGTTTGGAGTGACAGCAAAATATTGTTATTCCAAATGGGGGGAATAAAACTTTTTGAAACTTCCTGAAGTTCACACCAGGTGATAGGGAAGTATGAACAACGAACTTCAGCCACACCCCTTTACCTGAATACATATCCCTGTTTAAGAGAAGGCTCTCTCTCACTCATCTCTACATCAGGCTGGATTGTATACATACTCTATACAGACAGTGTAACAACATTCTTCTTCTTGTCCAGGAAGTTTTGATAACAAGGTAAGTTTGATAACTTGGGGAGGAGGAATTTATTATAATACAATATGCATTAGTATGTAATATAAAGTATTTTACATTAAGTCTTTAATATGAAACATTGATGATTTTTCTTAATCATTGCATTATCAGGATTAATTTAGAAGTGTTCAGAAACAGCTTATCTATTCACTTTAATTTTTATACGGTAAAACAGATATGTATGAAAATACCCTCAAATAAAAGGTGACATTCTGTACTGTTGCCTCATATGATTTTGATTTTTTCTCAAATCCAAAATGTTGGAGTAGAGAGTCAAATATTGAATTTTAGCTTTACTGTCCAAGTACAGACGGAGGGGAGTGTATTCAGTAATATTGTAAAAAGTTATGTACAATGTTTGGTTTGGTTTAATATATAAAGACTTATGACATTTTATTAAATAACAGGGTAATACTTAGATCACAGTAAAAACGAACTACAAGTTCTAAAGTAAGGCACTGTTGAATGCAAAATGCCTGAAATGTGTTTTGCAATGCAAGTTCTTGCATGGTGCGAAATGCTTTCAACAGTATTTTCTCTCTTTTAAAGGGTCAAGGTATGTCCTCTGCAGCTTTGCATGGCTTTCTACGGCCTGCTGTAATTGGCAGCTTGGTAGTGGTGTGTTTCCTAGGTACATTATTGATGTACTACACACCCATCACCATCTCCCTCCCATGCCCTGCAGACCAGGCATCCCAGAAGGGTAAGGCTTTCTGTGCTTGCCCTGGTGTACAACAGGAAAGGAACCAGACACAGGTGCCCAACCAAACCCCCAAGACACATGACCAGCATGCCCAGACTCAAGCTGAGGATGGCGACAAAGACACTATAGTCTTGATCTGGATGTGGCCATTTGGTTTTAAGTTTGATCTGCACTCTTGTGCCTCCTTCGACAACATCAAAGGTTGTCGTCTAACAGCAAACAGAAGCCTTTACCAGAAGGCAAATGTCGTCATGTTCCATCATAGGAACATCGCCACGAACCTGGAAGACATGCCACAAGAGCCACGTCCATGGTTCCAAAAATGGGTATGGTACAATATGGAATCACCAACATACACAAACAGGATCCCTGGTCTTGACCACTTGTTCAATTTGACTGCGAGTTATCGACTGAGTTCTGATATTTATGTGCCTTATGGGTTGCTCGTTGAGGTGACCAGCGATGATAAAATCTTTGAGCTGCCGAAGAAGGACAAATTAGTCTGCTGGGTTGTGAGCCACTGGAACACAAACCACAAAAGAGTATCGGTCTTCAATGAGCTTAATAAGCATGTGAAGGTAGAGACCTTTGGGCGACATTTTGGTAAATACATAGAGGACAAGGGACAGATTGTGTCAAGCTGTAAATTCTACCTGGCATTCGAAAACTCTGTCCACCAAGACTATATGACAGAGAAGCTGTTTAACACCTTGATGTTGGGAGCGGTGCCTGTTGTTCTCGGTCCACCCAGGCAAAACTACGAAGCCGTTGTCCCAGGGGATTCTTTCATCCATGTGGATGATTTCTCTTCTCAAAAGGAACTGGCGGATCGGCTTCTTTTCCTCGACAAGAATGATAATGAGTACTTGAAGTACTTTAGCTGGCGAAGGAACTTTAAAGTACAGGGAGGGCAATTTGGAAATGAGCATGCTTGTCGATCATGTGGTTACGTTCAAAAGAATAAAGGATACAGAGTTTTTCATAATTTTAATACATGGTTTTGGGGCTGATTGGTCTTCTTGCAATGGTCAACAATCCGGCTTTATGAAGAGTACTGCACCTTGGAAATGCCAACCTAAATGTTTAAGGCTTAGATCAGCTATAATATTGCATATAAATTGTGGGTTCCATCAATATAATTGTCTGCATCATTTCCAATCCCCCGTATTTATGTTGTAAATACATATAGAAATGATGTATTTTTAAATATATTTTCCCCTAACCATACCACCCCTCCCCTAATTGGAGTAAACTAATGGACAACAACACTTAGGCTTCTACTTCCAGTTTATACTATATCCATTTTATGGACACAGTATATTTTACAATAGTTATCTTTTGTTTGTTTTTAGTCCCATCCTTCAGCTCCAGATAGAATATTGTTTGTTAGGACTGTACTAGACAAACATTTAAGTTTTACTGAGAACACATTTTCAAGAAAATCTATTTCTGTTTTCAGTATTTGAATTATTTGGGTGTGACTTGTTGAAAGTGTCCTGTGTTTTACCTGTCATCCACAAACTATGCAAATGTTAGCCAACACTATTTGTTACCTTAGTTTATTTAGTAAATATTTTCTCAACTCTTTCTTGAACTGCATTGTTGGTTAAGGGCTTGTAAGTAAGTATTTCACGGTAAGGTCTGTTGTATTCGACGCATGTGACAAATACAATTTGATTTGAATTGAAATGGCGTGGTGTTCGGATACTGTAGGTGTATGTGCGCACAGGTCCTTGTTGTACCCAATAAATGCTGGCACATCTTTAGATGAGACTATTCTGTGGCTCCTTGAAGTTAATGATTCTATTACAAACAAATCGAGAAAACGCTAAACTCTTTCCTGCCAGACAGCATTCCTATGTGGTCATGTGTGTGGGTGTTTTTGTGTGGGAAGTCACATGTAGCAGCATACAGTCCTGTAATATTAATATTACATTTTTTCATTTGCTTTGGTACTATTTTTCAGAAGTAGGCTATATGGTGAATTTTAAAAACACTTAGTACAAAACTCTAAACTGGTAACACTTGTAATGCAGCAAGACTTACATTCAAAACCTTAGTCTGCCTCCTGTCCCATGGGCACACTTCGCCATGGGCACACCTTCCTGAAAAAAATGGGACTATACTTTTAACTTTTTTAAATGAGATACCTTTAAAGATTAGATTGTTCCAATGTGGTTAGCCAAAAAGATGACAAGATAGTTCACATAGTCACCATTCAGGGTTACTGTAGACTAGAGCATAGATTTGGAAACAGTGAGGGAAAAAAGTATTTGATCCCCTGCTGATTTTGTACATTTGCCCACTGACAAAGAAATGATCAGTCTATAATTTTAATGGTAGGTTTATTTGAACAGAGTACCCAGCAACTTAGTGAATACACAAAACACAGGACACCACAGTAACCATACTCACATACGAAAAATAGTCTCTCACAACAAACCCAACTGACCGGCTTTTAAACAATGGGATGTGTGATTGAAAAACCAGAAACAGGTGGTACAATGCAGAGGAATGTTCACTGATTGGTCCACCTTAGCAATCAGCAGACACCCCAACGACCAATCAGGAACATACAGGACACCTGTGATTAGGGCAGAAGGAGAGGAAAAACACAAAAAGACACAGGATACCTGTATCCATAACAAGGACCTTAATGTGCTTCTTCTTGAGCCACTCCTTTGTTGCCTTGGCCGTGTGTTTTGGGTCATTGTCATGCTGGAATACCCATGCACGACCCATTTTCAATGCCCTGGCTGAGGGAAGGAGGTTCTCACCCAAGATTTGACGGTACATGGCCCTGTCCATCGTCCCTTTGATGCTGTGAAGTTGTCCTGTCCCCTTAGCAGAAAAACACCCCCAAGGCATAATGTTTCCACCTCCAGTTCTCCTCTGAATCATTCAGATGTTCATTGGCAAACTTCAGACGGCCCTGTATATGTGCTTTCTTGAGCAGGGGGACCTTGCGGGCGCTGCAGGATTTCAGTCCAATGTGGTTAGCCAAAAAGATGACAAGATAGTTCACATAGTCACCATTCAGGGTTACTGTAGAGCATAGATTTGGATACAGTGAGGGAAAAAAGTGTTTGATCCCCTGCTGATTTTGTACATTTGCCCACTGACAAAGAAATGATCAGTCTATAATTTTAATGGTAGGTTTATTTGAACAGTGAGAGACAGAATAACAACTAAAAAATCCAGAAAAACGCATGTCAAAAATGTTATAAATTGATTTGCATTTTAAATGAGGGAAATAAGTATTTGACCCCTCTGCAAAATATGACTTAGTACTTGGTGGCAAAACCCTTGTTGGCAATCACAGAGGTCAGACGTTTCTTATAGTTGGCCACCAGGTTTGCACACATCTCAGGAGGGAGTTTGTCCCACTCCTCTTTGCAGATCTTCTCCAAGTCATAGGTTTCAAGGCTGACGTTTGGCAACTCGAACCTTCAGCTCCCTCCACAGATTTTCTATGGGATTAAGGTCTGGAGACTGGCTAGGCCACTCCAGGACCTTAATGTGCTTCTTATTAAGCCACTCCTTTGTTGCCTTGGCCGTGTGTTTTGGGTCATTGTCATGCTGGAATACCCATGCACGACCCATTTTCAATGCCCTGGCTGAGGGAAGGAGGTTCTCACCCAAGATTTGACGGTACATGGCCCCGTCCATCGTCCCTTTGATGCTGTGAAGTTGTCCTGTCCCCTTAGCAGAAAAACACCCCCAAAGCATAATGTTTCCACCTCCATGTTTGACGGTGGGGATGGTGTTCTTGGGGTCATAGGCATCATTCCTCCTCCTCCAAACACGGCGAGTTGAGTTGATGCCAAAGAGCTCGATTTTGGTCTCATCTGACCACAACACTTTCACCCAGTTCTCATCTGAATCATTCAGATGTTCATTGGCAAACTTCAGACGGCCCTGTATATGTGCTTTCTTGAGCAGGGGGACCTTGCGGGCGCTGCAGGATTTCAGTCCTTCACGGCGTAGTGTGTTACCAATTGTTTACTTGGTGACTGTGGTCCCAGCTCTCTTCAGGTCATTGACCAGGTCCTGCCGTGTAGTTCTGGGCTGATCCCTCACCTTCCTCATGAACATTGATGCCCCACGAGGTGAGATCTTGCATGAAGCTCCAGACCGAAGGTGATTGACCGTCATCTTGAACTTCTTCCATTTTCTAATAATTGCACCAACAGTTGTTGCCTTCTCACCAAGCTGCTTGCCTATTGTCCTGTAGCCCATCCCAGCCTTGTGCAGGTCTACAATTTTATCGCTGATGTCCTTACACAGCTCTCTGGTCTTGGCCATTGTGAAGAGGTTGGAGTCTGTTGATTGAGTGTGTGGACAGGTGTCTTTTATACAGGTAACGAGTTCAAACAGGTGCAGTTAATACAGGTAATGAGTGGAGAACAGGAGGGCTCCTTAAAGAAAAAACTAACAGGTCTGTGAGAGCCGGAATTCTTACTGGTTTGTAGGTGATCAAATACTTATGTCATGCAATAAAATGTAAATTCATTATTTAAAAATCATACAATGTGTTTTTCTGGATTTTTGTTTTAGATTCAGTCTCTCACAGTTGAAGTGTACCTATGATACAAATTACAGACCTCTACATGCTTTGTAAGTAGGAAAACCTGCAAAATCGGCAGTGTATCAAATACTTGTTCTCCCCACTGTAGGTGTATGTGCGCACAGGTCCTTGTTGTACCCAATAAATGCTGGCACATCTTTAGATGAGACTATTCTGTGGCTCCTTGAAGTCTATGATTCTATTATAAACAAATCGAGAAAACGCTAAACTCTTTCCTGCCAGAAAGCATTCCTATGTGGTCATGTGTGTGGGTGTTTTTGTGTGGGAAGTCACATGTAGCAGCATACAGTCCTGTAATATTAATATTACATTTTTTCATTTGCTTTGGTACTATTTTTCAGAAGTAGGCTATATGGTGAATTTTAAAAACACTTAGTACAAAACTCTAAGCTGGTAACACTTGTAATGCAGCAAGACTTACATTCAAAACCTTAGTCTGCCTCCTGTCCCATGGGCACACCTCGCCATGGGCACACCTTCCTGAAAAAAATGGGACTATACTTTTAACTTTTTAAAATGAGATACCTTTAAAGATGAGATTGTTCCAATGTGGTTAGCCAAAAAGATGACAAGATAATAAAATAATAATAATTGGTCATTTAGCAGACGCTCTTATCCAGAGCGACTTACAGGAGCAATTAGGGTTAAGTGCCTTGCTCAAGGGCACATCGACAGATTTTTCACCTAGTGGGCTCGGGGATTAGAACCAGCGACCTTTCGGTTACTGGCACAACGCTCTTAACCACTAAGCTACCTGCCGCCCTTAGTTCACATAGTCACCATTCAGGGTTACTGTAGAGCATAGATTTGGATACAGTGAGGGGGAAAAGTATTTGATCCACTGCTGATTTTGTACATTTGCCCACTGACAAAGAAATGATCAGTCTATAATTTTAATGGTAGGTTTATTTGAACAGAGTACCCAGCAACTTAGTGAATACACAAAACACAGGACACCACAGTAACCATACTCACATACGAAAAATAGTCTCTCACAACAAACCCAACTGACCGGCTTTTAAACAATGGGATGTGTGATTGAAAAACCAGAAACAGGTGGTACAATGCAGAGGAATGTTCACTGATTGGTCCACCTTAGCAATCAGCAGACACCCCAACGACCAATCAGGAACATACAGGACACCTGTGATTAGGGCAGAAGGAGAGGAAAAACACAAAAAGACACAGGATACCTGTATCCGTAACAAGGACCTTAATGTGCTTCTTCTTGAGCCACTCCTTTGTTGCCTTGGCCGTGTGTTTTGGGTCATTGTCATGCTGGAATACCCATGCACGACCCATTTGCAATGCCCTGGCTGAGGGAAGGAGGTTCTCACCCAAGATTTGACGGTACATGGCCCTGTCCATCGTCCCTTTGATGCTGTGAAGTTGTCCTGTCCCCTTAGCAGAAAAACACCCCCAAAGCATAATGTTTCCACCTCCAGTTCTCCTCTGAATCATTCAGATGTTCATTGGCAAACTTCAGACGGCCCTGTATATGTGCTTTCTTGAGCAGGGGGACCTTGCGGGCGCTGCAGGATTTCAGTCCAATGTGGTTAGCCAAAAAGATGA